TTCCCTACAACTTTGTGTTATGTTTTTAGCTCAGGCTAAACCAGTGTGGCAGTGGAGTCTTGCATACATTTTATCACCTGTGAGGTTAGAGGAAGTTAGGAAGTCTCAACGGAGTAGATTTTTGACAGTACAAAAGGCAGATAGCAGAACTGCCAGCTTTCAGTGATAAGTTCTTGCACATCTTCAGCTGTTTGAGATCAAGCTGGTAGACTTGCCTACAGTAAAATCTGCTATTCTTCTTCTGTAGTTGGTTTCTATACTGCAGGAAGGGTTTTTTCTCCCCCCCAGCCCCCTCCCTCCAAGCACAAGCTAGTGCCAAAAGCTTCTGCTGGATGAAACAAACATAAGGCTCAACTTCCATGCTGTACTGAACTAAAAGCAAGGACTGTACTCATTCAATTAAGGCGTCAAGGGCAAAGGATCCTGTCTCCACCAGGATACACTAACACTTCTTACGCATACGGTACAGTCAGGGGAGTGGGCTCATCCCCGTAACTGCACAGGATTTAAGCTTAGTATCAGTGTCCTTTATAATGCAAGTCCTTTTCAAACATTGCACCTACATAGGCTACTAGGATACAATCACTGTATGTTTCCCTTCACCTATAGGACAGAACACTCAGGTGGAGTATTTAAAAGGAAATATATTTCTAAAAATAAGCCTGCAGATTCTGGTTGTGGCAAAGTAATTTTACATCAAAATTTTCTTGACCTTTTTTCTTAGAACAAAAATTGTTCATGTAAACATTTAAGATTTGCTTTGACATATTTTTTCCACAAATAAATCTGGAAAAATTATCAGAGTTAAATGATCCTTAGATTATAACAGCCTCAGACCAATATCTAGGTTAAGTTCCCTCCACCCCACCCCCCTCACGACCACCATTTAGCATTTTTGATCCACGTGACAGAGAATAGTAGAAGCTGATGTGAGCATGGAAGTGTTCTGCAGCAAGACTTTGAGATGGTCTCTGTGTGTGCAAAGATTGAAATAGCTGCACAATGGCTCAGCCCACAACAATGGTACATCAGTCATGTTACTTTACTTCCAGTTAGGCAGTCATGCATCTCTTGACCCTTCAGTCTTCTCTGCCTGTAAACATGCAATTCAAGCTTTTAAGCTATTTAGAATTAAGTTTGTGTACATATTAGTAGAGATTTTCATCCCTTGGTCAAAAAGGACATTTAAATTGTTTGATAATACCAAAGACCAGTAGAAGTCCTAGGTTAACATTTGCTTTGTGCATTCTCACTTCAGGGCAGCTGAAGTGATCACATATACTTTGATACACCAGAGGCTTATTTTTATACCCATGAAGGCAGCTACCATCATGTTACACTGCAGAATGCAGAAAGAGCTCCAACTGGAAAAAGCTTGTTCATTTTGCCTGTACTCCATAGTAATGTATGTTCATTTAATTTTGTCATATTTATAATTATGGCTTTTATGAAGTTTAAAATAAAGTGAGTTTTCCATTAATTTATTAGACATGCAGTTCTGCCTGTTTACTTGCACGTTTGCAGTGTGATTTACCTGCCAAGTCCAGGGGGTTGCCAAAGGAGGAAGGCTGCAGCAAAATCCTTAACCAAATCTTGCAGAAGTGTGGTGTAAGGGTATGGTTTGTACTTCCTGACCAATGGTTTTACCCTGCTGGGAGCTGAACCCAGTCAGGACGCATGCAAGGAAGCGTGCACAGCTACTTTTAATCCGGCTGAAGAAAAAATCCATTGCCCAAATGCAGGGAGTTTTGGGTTTCCAGTCAGAACGGGCAAGGTGAAAGGAAATTTGATAGCAAGAGAGGTCAAAACAAATAAAAAGCAACAAAAAACCCCAGCCAAAAATACCCAAACAACCCAGGAAGGTGTAATAGGGGTTGACTGGCAAGTCTGCAAAAGTAAGATACTCAACCACAACTCCCTCTGCTAATTTTTCTAACTGTATGCAGCACAGGCAAGGGCTTAAACTTTTGTAGTTAAGTAAAAACATTTAATACAACATGGCACTTCTGTGCTGCTTTTCATTTTGTATTTAGCACTGTCATTCCCAGCTTTTCCCCAAATATTGGCCACATCAGAAGTTGAAAGCACTGGCTTCTTTCCCAAGCATTTCTTGGGCTGGGAAATGTTACCAAGGGCAGAGTTCAGCCTTCAGGTCTTTGGAAGATGTAAATGATTAAATATTTAAAGCTATTACAGCTTAACAGCTATGATGTGTTGAATCTAATTTTTATGAAAACAGGTTTCTTTACCTCCAATTCTGCATGGCCTTAGAGCAAATTTCAGCAGCGTGAAGTACGGAGATGTTGGGTAACAGGATACCTTCCTCTTTTCTGCATACTAAGGGTTTTTGGAAAACTTGACTGAAGCTCTGCTCTTGCATCGTTCAGAATAAAGAGTGAATCATGGATGCAGGAAGCTGGAAGGAGGCAACAGTTGTCCACAGGCTGCAAAGGATTCTAATACCAGATGACACCGGGCTGCAATCTTCAACTGGAAGTGGATATTTAAAGACTAAATTTGCTGCAGGAGAAAATTCTTAGCACTTGAGAGAGACTGAGCTTGCACAGACTCACAGTGTGGAAAACAAAAACGTTTACTGTAGTGTGAAGAACTTTACATTAACTTTGAGAATAGATACACAAGCTGTGGCAGGGACAAAATACACCAGGACTGCAAAAAACATAGAATAGAAAATACTTTGGGCAATACTAAAATTCCCATCAAATTAACAATAGAAACTGACATCTTAGATAAAGTGGTGCTTTCAGAAATGCTTAGCCACCAAAACTGAAGAGTCCTAGGATTTTTTTACTACCACTTATTAGCATAATTACCAGACACTACTACTGCCTAACAGCTGCTGGCAAAACATGCCCGTGCCCTTTCTAGATTTATTGAACACTTTCTCTAGGGCATACTAAAATCCCAAGTCCCTTTAACAGTTATAAAACCCCACACGGTACAACCTACAGAGAAGCTTAAGAACACATTGTCAATCTACACTGGCAATTCCTTTTCTTCATGCATATTTCAAGGGAAAATCCCT